GAGAGAGAAAAACTTCCTAAAAGCAAACAGTTAACTAGATCAAACTTTATTCTCTCTTAAGTTGTGACTCTTGATAAAAAAAAAAATGAAAAGAAAATTTCAAAATTTTAAAGAAAAGATAGAGAAAATATAAATTTAAAAAATTCAGAAAATAAATTATCAAAATAATTAAAGTTCCAATATCTTAAATCTTACACATAATTTTAATAGTTACATCTTTTTAAAATAATTCCTATTAAACATAGAAAAACTCGCATTACAGTTTGATTTACATTGGAAAGAATATATGATTATATGGCCAAAGACTTATAATTAATTATTATTATAAATAAATGCATTCGAGTTTGCAATTTTTTTAATTTGTTTGGCAGGAATGTTGATTTGTGTAAACGCGATTAAGCATGTGGTGTCGTCCTTGAATGTTAAACAAAGATGACAATACGAACTCCAAAATATTCTCATGCAAAGTGTGGTGAATATCACTTCATGTTTGCTATGATGAATTATGAAACATTTGTAGAAATAAGTTTTAAGAAAAATAATCTATGACCTATTTCTCTAAAAACTAGGTAAAACTAGTTTTAATTAATGATGGTTGAAATATAGTATTACATGGATTTTAAATTAAAAAATTAATAGAATTAAAAGAGTTTGTATTGGGTGAGGAAAATTAAGTAGAAGTACATAAAATAAAACATGCCCTATGAAAAGTGGCACTTTTTCCAAGCATTCAATTATTGGATCTGTTCCTTTCGATAGCCATTGCAAACGTTCCACTCATTTGTCGCCCATTGTTTTAGTCTAGAAAGTCTGAAAAATCCATGCTACATCACGGGTCCAGTCTAAAAGTTATTCATTCCATGTTTTCATTTTTCAATAAAACTTTACAATTTCATCTCTAACTTAATTTTATAAATTTTTAATTTGTTATTTTCTTTTTATATTTCGTCTATTCAACCAAAGTTTATGAAATGTGAGTATTTATTTATGTCAGCACAATATGAACGTACATGTATGTGAATAAGAATAATGCTCTCTACTAACTTGAAGGAATATTCAAATAGAATAATAAGATTTCAACAAATCACATGCCTATCTCTTAGAATAGGATAAAATATGATGGAGGGACACAATTTTTACCTTTTAACAAGATGTTGTTCATTGAAATGACATGTTTACCAAAGAGAAAAGAAAATAAGTGAAAGAAGCAAGAAATATAGTAAAAATAGAGGTGATTTAATCTAATAAAAATAGGTGAAAAATAAAATAAAAATAGATTTGATGGATAAATATTAGAATCTTGATGTTTTTAATTTTAGCATTAAAATTTTATTATTTATACTGTTATTATTGTTATTATTATTTTATTTCTTTTATTGACGTTATTTATATTTATATCACTACGATTTATTACAATGAGAAGAGAAGTGTATAATGGATTATGAATTCTCCAATAATGGATTATAGTTTTTGGTAAAAATATAAGTATACTTTTCACACGCGGTAATAACAAAATAAACTATTATATAAACTAAGAAAATGAAGTCAAGTTAATGAACAAGTTTTATGTGCGACTAATTAATTTAATAGTAACGAATAAAATGTCTCTGAAAAATTTATATATATATATATATATATATATATATATATATATATATATATATATATGGGTTAAATATGTTTTTAGTCTCTAAACTATTGGTCGTTTCTGGTTTTCGTCCCTCTTTCAAAGTAAGGTACAATTTGGTCCTCATTCTTTTCGAAACGTTCGTTTTAGTCCTCGAAATTTTGGTTTTAGTCCTCGGAATTTTGGTTTTAGTCCTCATTTGTTGTTAAATAAGGACCAAATTTTTAAACAGTGTTTAGTTTTCGAGGACTAAAACGAACGTTTCGAAAAGAATGAGGATCAAATTGTACCTTACTTTGAAAGAGGGACGAAAATCAGAAACGGTCAATAGTTTAGGAACTAAAAACATATTTAACCCTATATATATATATATATATATATATATATATATATATATATATATATATATATATATATATATTATTGATATTTTTATTTGCTCTATATATAGAAATGTTTTATATTCTTCTCTTTTGTTGTGATATTTATATTCTTACAAAGACATGAAGTAATTTATGAGAGTAATGATTTCTCTTTTTTCTCTTGTCATATTTATATTCTTTTGAAGTTATCTCTCAGACTGACTAGTCAATTCTAAATTATTAGAATAGACATCATGGACATGCAGTTCTTTTTGTTTCAGGTTTAATTTTATTTTCTCAACCTTTGCTCTTTATTTTTTATTATTATTTTATTTTCAAATGAATATTTTTTGTGGCTAAATTAGAGAATAATCTTTTATGTTGGAATTTAGTTGAAAAAGAAGACGAAGGAGGAGACATTTACCCACGTGTTTCTACGTCGTCCGTTAATTTTTGTCGCAAGAAGCAAGATCATGTGGGTGACCTCATTGGTCTTCATAAATTTTAGGTATATATTCCCTCTTCATAATCGTAAGTCAATAATGCCCATTATTATTAGAGATAAACAACGGTTCTTATTATCCCTTCCAAATAATCATTTCACATTATCTCCGATATATACCCAAATAATTAAAACATTATGATATATATATTAATACTGAAAATAAAAAAATAAAAAACTCATTTTTCACAACCCGCTCTTTCTCTCTCCTAGAGGAACAATATTACATAGGATAGAAACAAAGAACGGATGTTAAATGTTGTTGGTAGTGAGAAGAAGAAGAGTAATGCATAGGTGCAGGTGACATGAGAGAATAATAAAAGCTAGGTAGCCCCACACCGAAAACCAGAAGGAAAACCATAGTTCTGAGTCGTCATAAAACCCCGTTCTTTCCACACTTCAACCGCTCTGTTCAAACATGAATCAACTATGCAACAGACAAACAACATTAATTGAGACGTCGATGCTGTTCTATGTAGCGACAAAAGAGGATGAAACTGAGAAACTTAGTGGGATACTCTTTATCTTATCAACCTCGTGATTTTACTCCTTTCGCACTTCATCTTCGCATACACATACGGTGGGTGCAACCAAAATGGTATGCCAAATCAAGAAAGAGAGGAAATCGGATCTTAATTTTTTACTATTTTAAAAAAAATTTATCTTTTTGACTTTTTAGAAATCGAAATGGTTAAAGTGGCCACCGGACATAATAAAGAAAAAACAAAAGAAAGTGATAAATAAAGTGCCCTATACGAAATTACGTGGTTCTACAAAAGGCCAGAAAGCGAAAGTTCCCCTTGAATGAAAAAGTGTGAATATTTGTTCATGGAGAGGAGGGGGGAAAATTATTGCGAGAAAAGAAACAGACAAAAAAGTAATGCAAAGAAATGTTTTCAGTACATTATCATGAGTAGATGAATCATGAATTTAGTGGATATGGGTCCAAACTTCCAAATTAAAATTCAGAAATGTGGTTTTGTTTGGAAGTGCCTAGTGGGTCTATGCTATATAATAACAAATAACACCATTAAACTATGGGTGGGTTATGATAATACAAATGAATATTGCAAATTAATTTATAGAATGTAAGGATCGGTTGGCTGTAAGTCCTTTTCACGCTTAGGTGGGGGTTACCAAAATAAAATATCAGCAGCAATCACAAGGATCGGTTTTCTTTTCTTTTCTTTTCTTTCATTCATGCTTGCACCCATCTTCACTTCATTTTCTCCTATACTTTTATGCAAGACAAATTACTCTACAAAAAAAATTTCTATGGTCAACTAATTACACATTATTCTCAAGTATCATTTTATTTCATATACTGTACATAGGATATAAACATTATTGTGGAAAATCTAGAGTAAATGGAATATTATTTTTTGCAAGTGTTGTTGTCACATATATTAAAGAAATGTAATCAGGGAGAGAGAGGTGTGAAGGCACACAGCAAAGAAAGGGAATAACCTAGTTAGGTACCTCGGCAAAGAAAGGAAAAGTGGTGAAACTTAAGAACAAAATCTAAGAGCAGAAAATCTGAGATGAAGCTGCAAAGGAGGAGCACCTGAACAGAAGTGCAAGAAAAGCTGTAAATGATAAGTGCACGTGTGCATCATGGTAGATAGATTGAGCCCAACAGATCTGATACAACCCCGGGGACCAGATGAACAGTGTTGCTGGGAACTAGTCTCTATATATAAAAGAAGGATTAGACCTTATTTGACTCCATCTGTGTTCTTGTTGCCCTTCTCACGAACACCAGATCCAAAACAAGACAAGGATCAAAGATATAAAAGAATCATCAAACTTTTCATTGTTTTTTTAATTCATTTATCTACCAAACCAAAATCATCTTCAATATATAATGGAAGGGTAAATTCGATTTCTTGATTTCCTTCCATAAACTGCACCGTGTATGTGTATGTATGATTCTTCTTTTTCATTTCAATCCATCTTTCATCACCAAACTGTTTTCCAACTGCACCTTGGAGCTTCCCCGGGCAAAGACAAAAGCGAAATGTCACAACGAAATTGAAATCAAACGAGATGTATTCTCGCCACTGGCATCATAGAAATATACGCCACCCAGTGAGAATATATAAACAAATAGATACAATGCAAAGAAAAACCCATAAAGAGGGATACGATTCTCTCCCTCTCACTCTCCAACAGTAAACCTCGTCATAAGAAAACGAGGAATGGATTCAACACGAAAGCGAAAGGCCTCGGACTCCTGTGTCAAGCAAAACAACGTGTTCATTTCAATCTATGCCTCCACCGGTCCGCTACCTCATTTCATGAAACACAAGAATGATGATCAAACATTTCACGTCGTACGACAGAAACCTAGTATCGAAACACCACACTGAGTACAACCACAGAATCAGATATATAGTTAACACTATTAATCTATGTATTCGTCGATAGAGGTTAAACTTTTATAGTAACTATATATAGATAAATCAGCATAAATAAATATATATTTATGTATATAAGGCGGAAGCAGAACTAATAAATCTCCTTAAGAATAAAGATAGATAGATAATAGCAGTATAAATTGGAAAAAAAAATGATGAGAATTATACTATACTATACGGAAGTAGTGGCAGTAGTAGTAACATTAGGAGTGGTGGCAGTAGGAACATCAGAAGAAGGTAGACTAACGCCTGCTCCGTTAGTAGGGTTATTAGAAGTACTAGTGGTTACAGTAGAAACGGTGGCGGTGGTGACAGTGGAAGAGAGAGTGGTCGTGGTTCTCTTGCGCTTCTTCTTCTCGTAGGGAATTCCACGGGCTTTGGCCTGGGCTTCCCTTACCTCTCTGAGGTAAATTCGGACGGCCCGAGTGGCGAAGGGATTGGACTCGGGACGGCCTCCGTTTTCTTCAAAGGCCGCCCTGAGTCGTCCAATTAGGGCGTCGAGGCTGCCCCAGGCCTGCTTGAGAGGGCAGGCGCAAGGGGCCGGAGGGTTGGGGTGTCCGAAATAAGGACACCCCGAAATATGCACCTTAGTCTTCCCGAACTGGTCGAGGTACTTGAGAAACTCGATCACGTGCGCGCCACTGCACCGCGCCAACGTCAATGGCGGCTTGTGGTTCCGCAGGTACTGCAAGAACGTATTCCAGTCTCGCCGCTTCTGCGACTCGTAGCGGCTGGGTGCCGCCTGTCCCGCCGACCCCTCGGCCTGTACCAGCGCTGCCGATCCCTCCGGCGGAGCGTCGGGCACGGTGGGCGTTGGCGCTGCACCTGCTGCAGCGTCCATGATGAGGAAGAGGAAGCAAGCAGAAGCAGAAGCAGGGTGATGGATCGGAGAGAAGAGAATCTTTTTAAGTTTGTGTTGGGAAGAGAAGAGAAGAAAAGGGAAGAGAAGAGAGTGAAGAGAAGAGAGGAGGGTTAAATAAATAAATAAAACTTGTGTTATTTGAGAGAGAGAGAGAGAGAGAGAGAGAGAGTCGAAAGAAAGATTGGATGATGGGACGTAAAAAAGGCTTGTTGAATGAATTGAATGAATGAGAGGGAGAAGGTGTTTAGTTGAGTGATGGTGGTGGGGGCGAGTGGCGAGCGTTTTGCACAGTGTTCACAATTTCACATGGTGGCCCCTCTTGACATGACCACTTTACTATTCACCACGTTGGCCCCCTCTCTTCTTCTTCTTCTTCTTCTTCTTTCAATTTCTTTTCTAATCTATTCCAATAAATTAACAAAATCTACTTCTTCTCCTTCTTCTTCTTCAGGTCCGTGACTTCTCCTCCTTCTTTTGCTTTCAAATTTTCATCTCCTCCCTAGCTCCTACTGTAGTACCAACGCCTCAGTACTACGATACTATATTTTTTTTTTTTATTTCTAAATTTGTTTTCTTCTGCTTTTTATATTTATGTCCAATATTCAATAATGCCCTTTGCTTCCCTTCATTTCTTTTTTCTTTTTTTCATTTAAATAATTAAGACCAGGAAACAAAAGTTTACTAACCCAAAAACAAGACAGAGAGAGAGAGAGAGAGAGAGAGGAGATTCTTTTCTCATTGTGGAAGCCAATGGAAAAAATGGTGCTTATCTTTCTCCCATTGTTTTACCAACTTAACTTACTCTTTATACTAACATTCGATAAGAGTTCCCATTGCTGTTCAATATAAACATAATTGTTCAATGATTTATTCAGAATAATATACTATACATTTAGGAAGAGTAACTACAATTTCTGTTCGATATAAACATGATTGTTCAATGAAATCAATTTAGATTCCATACATTACAAAATAGTATAAAATCTTGTTTTCAATATTTAATGTAATTATATTATAAAATTTCAAAATTATTAATTAAATACAAACAGTTCGGGCCAGTTAACAAGTTTCCTTTGTGATAATATATTTATATAGTTTGTTCTGAAATAAATGATAACTTTCTGTTGTTATATTTGTTTATTTTAATTTTAAATTTGTCACGTTCGTGAATCAGTACGATATAGGTTATTAGTCCATTTATTTCGATTTATAGTGTATGACACGTCAATTCGAGTATTTTGTGTATGTGATTGGAATTAAGAAGGAGAATGGAGGGTAAGTATTTTTCCATTAGTAACTATGACGATATAGACAAATTGTAAATAAATTTAATAAAAACTGATTGAGTTTTGAGCTAAACTCACTTAATAGAGCATGAATTGTGTTGTGTATATGTGAGAGAACAATTATTTGAATTTATGAAAAAAATAAATTGATAATATAGTTGATTTTATTTTATTCTTTTAAGGTATTATGCACAAACTAATAAATGTTTCAAAAAATTAAAATACGTGCATATTTACTCCTAAAAAGTAAATGCATATTTGCTCCTAAAAAATAAATAGTATAATATTATAAAACTAAATAATCGATGTATAACTTATATTTTGATATCATTTATTTTAATTACAACCTATATAACGACTCTGTATTAAAAAATATTTTATAAATTTAAATTTATATTCTTTTCTTTTAATATTGTAGTTTGAAATAATATATTATTATTGAAGCAATAATTTCTTTTTTCATGTCATAAAATTTTTAAAATACATTAGAGATCTATAATGTATTTCACTATTTTAATTAATTAAAACTAAAACAACACTTTTAATAATATCTGGAATATGTGAAAAAGAAACTACTTTCTAAGAATTGTTATAAAATGAGAAAATATAAGTAGAATATTTTTAATTAGAAAAAATATTAGAATATTTCTAATTAGAGAACATGAGTATAATCTTTTAGTTTATTTTTCAGTATATTGTTTCTTATTTCTCTTTTAAAAAACTAGATTATTATAAATAGTTGTAAAAGAATGTAATAGACATCAATTATAATAATAAAAATAATTCTTTTCTCAAGTTGGTATTAGAACTCTCGATTTTGGGAGGACAGTTTCCATAGCAAAAGTAGCCACTGTTGTCATTGTCTAGCCACTACGGTCATTGGGGTCGTTGATAAAGTAAAAAGGTACGTCCAACTTCGATGAACAAAACCACCGAAAATTGTTCCAGGAAAGGCGTTGCCACCATCATCGCTAGCATTGTTCACGTGCCTAGTCCTAGTAAGACCCACGCATCGTTGCCATCACAGAAAAAGTGTCAGAGCCTCCTGAGTTCGTCCCACGGGTCATTCTGATGTCCCATTTGGTCCATATTTGAGTAGATATGAGTTTTGATTCATACTCCTTTTTCCTGGTGTAGCCCACTCGTCATTGTCATCTCGGATAGGATCACCAGAGACACCTAATTGTGTTTCAAAGGGATGTCTGAGATAAAAATTATTCCTTTGGGTTTTAATGATCTCCCAAATGTGGAGGGTGCCTATCAGTTAGATGGTCAGAATTTCTTACAATGGAGTCAATACACTCAAAAGGATTCTCAAGGAACGTTCAAGACTAGATCGCATAGATGGAGGAGGGCCAGTTGAGACAATGAAGATTCACTAATTATGATTTGGATGGGGCATTCCATGATTCCTGAGATAAGTCAAAACTATATGTTTCATTCTTCTGCCAAAGATATATGGGATGATTTACAAAGTATTTTTTCATTAAGAAAGGATTTTGTTGCATGGTATAACATTGGAAGCAAGATACTTGATACAAAACAAGGCTCTCTTTTTTCCCTGTCAGATTATCACAGAATCTTGAATAGACTTTGGATTGAATTAGATCAATATCAAACAATAAAGATGTGTAAAACAGATGCTACCGCACATGTTGAAGCCCTAGAAAAGGAAGAATCTTTAAATTTTTCCATGGTCTGAATCATGAGTATGACCCAATCCGAGTACAAATCTTAGAAAGAGAAAAGTTATCATCCCTATAAAAGTATTTTTTATGGTAAAAGAAGAAGAAACTCGGATAACTATCATACTTGATGAGGACATCTCCAACAGAGGCTCTGCCATAACAACCGAAAAGCAAGTCCACAAAGGAACAAATGCCATAGAAAAATTCATTAAAAAAGATAATCGTGGAAACTATTGTTAATGTTGCAAAAGATCTTGACATAGGAAACAATATATTAGAAAATAATTGATATTCATTTATCAATTTGAAGAAAGGTATTGTAATTTGAGAAAAATCTTTCTAATTAAAAAAAAAATATTTATAGAATCTTCTAATTTATTTTTTAATATATTATTTCTTTGTTTTTTCCTTTTTGAAAGATTAGACTGTTATAAACAGATGTAAGGAGAATATAATAGAACTTAATTATAACAAAAATTATTCTCTTTTCAAGTAATTATTAGGTCAATTATATTACCTTATTTTAGTATTTTATATCATCTTAGAGATATTCAAACATGTTACATCAATATTAATATTTTATTTCAGTAACTAAAACATCCAAATAAAAATAAAAAATTCAATTTTATAATATAATTATTTTTTAAACTTTTTATGAATTAATTAATGTCACCAATGAAATAAATTAAAAATATTATTATATTATAATTAATAATTAAAAATTAATTTATAAGTGTTAATAATTCAATTTACGATACTATTTTATATTTACATTATTCCAGTAACATAACATAAAAAAATAATGCTATAAATTTTCTTTTATTTTAATTTTAATTTTAAAAATAGTGGGTGCGGCTATTCACCACGTCTCCTTCGGCCTACAAATTTAGTGGACTAACTAATATTGGCCAAAGCAAACTGACTAATCGAAAACTCCAATCCGGAGGTCAAGTATCACTTTTCATTCCTAGAAAATATACAAAGTATTTATTTGATTTTACTATACTATATTATTTTTCACCAGTATCAAACATACGTACTTTTTTATTTTACACATATTTAAATGTATTGATAATATATTTTGTAAAGGCACTTTTGTCGTGAAAGAGTGTAAATTTACTAATTGGTAATCACGTTTAATATTTTTTTTAAACTTGATTTATGTATGGTATATTTGAGATGGTTTTGAATTTAAATGGAATATAATAGTTATGTTTTAAATTACGGGTGAAGTAGAATTTTGGGTGGTACATATAGTAAATAATTGAGCCTAACATCTTAAGTTGTGGACTTTAAATAAAAGGTTATTTTAGTAAGTTAAAAGAAATAATGATGTTCTTAATTCACCAAAAATAAATTTGTTTTCTCTATTTCATTTTACTCTTACTCTTCTTTCTCTCTAATGTTGGTTAGAGTGATGTCATATTCACAAGTGACAAAAAGGATTTGTTTGCTTCCAATGATTGGAAGAAAAATGATAACGAGGATTTCTGCGTGAAACTCGCAAGAGCACCCTCACCCAAACAAAAACATTGTCAATTAAAATACCATATATGATCATCTTAAGTTGAGAGAATCAATTCTCGAAGGTGAAATGAATGTAATATGATACGAGAATCAATTCAGATTATGTGATAAAGTAAGGAATTGATTATAATTCATATATATATATATATATATATAATAATTTTTTATTATATATATATATATATATATATATATATATAATAAAATAATAATAATAATAATTAATTCGTGGAGTTCTAGCTATATTCATGGATTACATGAACCGTATATTTAGACCATTCTTAGATAAATTCGTTGTTGTCTTTATTGATGACATACCTATTTATTCGAAAACTCATGAAGAGCATGAGGATCACCTTAGGACAGTGCTCAGTGTGTTGATGGAGAAGAAGTTGTATGTCAAACTGTCTAAGTGTGAATTCTGGATGGAAGAGGTGCAATTTTTAGGTCATGTAATCTCAGCGGGCGATATTTCTGTGGATGATGCAAAGGTGCAGGCGATGCTTCAGTGGAAGCGGCCTGAATCGACCATTGAGATAAGGAGTTTTGTGGGATTGACGGGCTACTATAGGCGATTCATTGAAGGATTTTCTAAGATAGTAGCGTC